CATCTCCTCCACTTTCTGCAATACCTTGTGCTCCAAATACTTTGATGACCCGATCACACAGGGCAAGTAAAGCTGCTGCTTTAGCCAAAATGACGGCAAGCAGAATGAAAAGGAGCGATATAGATGAGGATATCGAGGAAGAAGATGTTTCATCTGATGTTACAACAGAGGATTCAGACGTCGAATGAGCTTTGTTAGGGATTGGTTCTGTTTATTTGTACGTTTGTTACCAAATTATGTTATTGGTTTCTTAAGTGTTTGATCATCATGTCAATGCCTGTTATGTACTGAGTTGTGAAAAGAAGAGTATAGACTGAGATCTCTTCTTGTCTTCTGACCAAATCGTTGATTGTAGTAACAAACAACCACCGTTAGTCGTGGTCGAACCGGTCCGTTTGTAACCAGGCAAGACTAAACCAACCGGTCCGTTTGTAAATTCTATCTCAAAGTTCAACAAAAATTTCTGAAACGAATTTCCATGAATCGTAAATCCCAAACCCTAGTAGCTTGCACGCACCAGAATCAAATCCAAAGATGGCAATTGCACGAACTGGAGTTTACGTTGATGATTACCTCGAGTGTAAGATCTCGATCAATTCTCCTTTTGATTTACCCAATTGTGTTTCGATTTTAGGGTTTCATTTTTGTTTGCTTGGAATTTCTTGTAGATGCAAGTACTTTCCCTGCAGAGCTTCAAAGACTCTTGAATACAGTTCGCGAACTAGACGAGAGATCTCAATGTAAAAGCTTTATTTTTGTTGAATTTCTAAATCCGGTTTCTTTGTGTGTTTTCGTGATGTTTGATTTTTGGTTCTTGTTTGAAAGCGCTCATAAATCAGACAAGGCAACAAACCAAGTATTGCTTAGGGATTGCCTCACAGAAAGGTAATGGCAATCATTACAACAATGGCTGTAATGATGAAGACGAAACGATTGAGAAAATGCGTAAAGAGATTGAGTCTAGCCAAGAAAATGCTTTGAGTTTGTGTACTGAGAAGGTCTTATTGGCTCGACAAGCGTATGATCTTGTAAGCTCTATATTCCTCTCTCAGTTTTCCCTTTTGGTGGGATCAATCATAATGGTCACAAGAACGCCATCATGATCTCTACTGTCGTGAAATGAAAGTAGACCTTGTTGCTGAGATAGATATGAATACAACTCCATTGTATGTTTTATCGTGGTGATAACTCGTATGTCTATTCTGGTTGTTGTAGATAGACAGTCATGTAAAACGACTTGATGAAGATCTGAATAATTTTGCTGAAGATTTAAAGCAAGGTATGTCATGTCGTCTTAAGGGGTTTAATCGATTAGAACTGTGTCTTTTATTATTCAAATGACTCAATTTGCTCCATATACTACGTCAGTCCATCCGTCATGGATTTGGTTGGCAGTTGATTGAGATTAGTCAGTCGGCTGGTAATTGATTGGGCATGTCATGTAGCTAATAGTAATCTCCCTTTTCTTACCTTGCTGATTATCTAAATAAGCATTTCAAAAGCATATAGGTAAGGAGTTAGGCCAAGTGTTCTACATCTTGTTGGAGTCGAGGATACTCTCGGGTCTTCATCTTGCGGGGAATCTTTGTATCCATCTTGTTTTATCAGTAACGGGTCAAGTTTACTTTATTACAATCTCTTGAAACTTGTTCTAGAGCAGCTCCCTAAGGGTTAGAAAAAGAAAAATGCTTTCCACCTGCACATGATTTAGTTTCAAGCTTCAAAGATATTTAGGAGTTCATCTTCGATCTTGCCAAATCATACATGTGGTCTTACTTTTAGTTCTTTCTAGTGAAATGGTGCTTTGAATGAAGAAGTTTAACCTGTTCAATAACTGTGTCCTCAATATTTCTCTCATATGATTTATCAGAAGGAAAAATCCCACCAGATGAGCCCTCTCTTCTTCCTCCACTACCTATCGTTCCTAAACCGGAAAAGCGCAAGTCCTTCTATAGCACACCTCAGTCTAAGAAGATTGATTACAGAGATAGAGAGTGGGACCGTGACAGGGATTTTGAGCTCATGCCTCCTCCAGGAAGCACTCGGAAAGACTTCACTCCTATTGATGAGCAGCCGATCGATCCAAATGAACCAACCTACTGTGTCTGCCATCAGGTCCTGAATACATAAATATTTCTAGCAGAATCTTTGGGTTGTGGTCTTTGATTAACACTTTTATTAATTTTGTTTCAGGTGTCATTCGGAGACATGATTGCCTGTGACAACGAGAAGAATGTGAGTCTGTTCTGTTATTCATCTGATTTTTTCTATTTTTCGTGTTTAACCATTTGATTGTTTTTCCTGGTTTGATAGTGTCAAGGAGGTGAATGGTTTCACTATACATGTGTTGGTCTCACACCGGAGACTAGATTCAAAGGGAAGTGGTATTGCCCTACCTGCAGGCTCCTACCACAGTCGCATTAATGTCAGTTCATACCAGTGACAATGTCTCGTTTTTGTACTTTTAGCATCAATCATCAGAAAAGTGAAAGTTTCATTCCTCCTGCAATGTTTTCATGCATTTTTGGTGGCTAATATAAGACATGTATGTATGGAGATATAGAGAAATGGATTGGTCCTGTTATTTGTACGTTTTGTTATGTTTGCTATAGAAAATCTTGGATTTGGAAAGAAAAAGTATAATAACTAGGATTGTGTAAGGATGAATCATCTCTTGCTATTATTAAGATCAAGCAATCCTGTTATTGGTCAAGCAGGAGCTTTCACAAGATCAAGCAAATTCCATATTTTGTACAGACTTTGATTTGTGAACATCAGATGTTGAAAAAGTTGTTCATGTCATCTAATGAGGTTGTGCTGTCTGACACTCTTTGGGAGCTCTTTATGCACATTCTGCGTTCCCTTCTCCAGAATCACATTGATTCTCCACAACACAATCCTACTTTCCATTTTCATTCCTTTGATTTCATAGAGCTTCCAAAGCAAAGCCTTAGCGAATCTGTACTCACGAGTATCGTACCAGTCACACTGTTTCTTCACAATGATTTCCATATCTCTGAAAGCTCTCCTCACAACCCCAACTTCCATTTCTCTTTCCACAAGCTCTCTCACTGAATCTATCATTTTACATACAATCTTGTCAACGGAATCAGCGTGATCTGCGACATCTAACAAGTGGATTGCTGCACAGAACCCACCCACAAACGCCAAGACCCAGTAACTGTTATCAACCAACAAATCTCTTGGTGGGTTTAACCTTCTGCTTATCTCTGGGAGAAGTTTTTCAATCGCACGAATCACATATCTTTTATCCTCAAGCATCATTGTTAAGCACTGGAAGATATAAACAGTTTTCTTGAACTCTGTTTCGCATCCTGATGCAATAAAGTCCCATAGTTCCGGCCATGTATCCTCTTGGTAACCGAACATCTCATTCGCAACGTGGAAAACCACCTGCCCGAGAATCTTGAACGTGTTTTCAGGCACTCCTACTTCTGTAAGGCAAGAGATGAGCAATCGCTTGAGTTGTCTCATCTCTGAAACATTTATTTCCGCTTTCTCCAAAGTATGATCACAAAGTAAATCGTGCACTCGTCTGACTGCTATCTCTCTGGACTTATCATCCATCTCACTTCCTGCGACCAGTCTGATCATTTCCACTGCAGGAAGTACCTTCAAATTGTTGTACACATCAAGGTCAGCACCTTGAATTTCAATGAGAGAAGGGCTCAGTTTGAAGGCTGGATTGTTGTCATACTTGTCCAGTTTCTTAACCACTTGATAAATCTGCCTCGCAGCTTCTTTCGTATGCGTTCCGATACCTGCAATCCTAGACGCAAACTCTGCCACAAAACCGCATTGATCGCTACTCCAATTACACAAGATGGAGTCTTTTGCCAAGAACTTGACCAAACGTTCAAGCCCTCGTTCCAGAAACCGTTCCTTACCCTTCTTCACTAACTCATTAGCTGACTTGAGAACAACTCCAAGAATGTTTCTGTTCAAGTAACTCAACTCAGGATCCAAATTCTGAATCCCTAATTTAATACCAGTTTCTAAACCCAAACTCCATTCTTCAATTCTATCTCCAGGATTAGCCAAGACCTTGTACACTTCCTCTACAAGATTCCATAGAAATCTGTTGATGAATCCTCCATTGAATTGTGGCAAATCAAGAAAGACGTTAAAAGCTCTGAGAGGATCGGTATGTGTCAGTGAGAGTATACAATCGCCAAGCTCGTCCCATCCACCATTATTAAGTATCACAACACTGAAAGCTACACAAGAAACGATTCTTCGGAGGATCTCTGTGTCAGATTTCGTGGCTTGTGGCATTGTTAGGCAAGAAATGAGAAGCGGCTTGATGTCGTTGAGAGCGACGAGAGAGAGAATGAATCTGCGATGATTTCTTAATTCGGTAAGACTTTCAGAGAGGAGTAAGATCGATCGGAATCTGATGAGGTCATCATCGGAAGAAGAAGATCGATACACATTGAGAAGCATTAGGGTTAAGCAATTTGGGAAATTAGCGACGCAGAAACCGTAAAGAGCACGAGCTGTTTGGTATTCGTCGGAATCTTGATGCGTAAAGAGTTGGTCGATGATGATCGATAATCGTTGGTGGCTTGGAGTGGCAAGAAGATCTCTGGCTTTCATCATCAGATTTGAAGATTCCGCCATTGATGATGCAACTTGTTCTACCATTTTCCCTAATACTGTATTTTGTTTCTGGATCTTCTTCGTGACTCAGATATATCTTCGGTTTGACTTTGAGTTGACTCAAATAGAAAATGAAGATAGGGACACATCCTACTAAACCGAATATAAATCAAACCGGAACCCAACATTTACGCTATTTCTTTCCTTCTCTTTCAAAAACCGGAACCATAAAGTTTATTAACTTGATAGAATAGAAAAAATGTAATATTTTCATTCTTTATATAATACTAGGTAAAGGATCCACATATGCGGGTTTATGGTAAAAAAAAATTTTGCAACCCATGAAAAATCAAACACGAAAAAAACAAAAAAATTAAATCACTTATGAAAGTAAATAAAATCGAAAACCTTGATATTGAATAAATTTAACACTTACTTTTTTATCTTGATTTTTTTGTCTAAGTTGATTTCCAATTAAATTTGATAATTCTTTTTAAAATAATTATTTTCTTTCTATTCATGTTTGAAATAATTTAATTTTTACTATTTTTCTACTCTATTTTTTCAAAATCTTATTGAATTACTTTATCATAGTCTTATTTGAATTTTTTAATTTTATAACCTATGAAAAAACACAAAACATGAAACGTAAAAAACCACTAATAGAAATGCCTCACCATTATTAAATTGTTTTGACTCTTTTTATTATATTATTTTTTTAAATTAATTTTTTACATATTTTCAAATAATTAGTTTCTTCTATTCCTTATTGAATTAGGTTTATTTTATTATTATATATTTATTTTTTCCAAAACCTTAACGAATTGAATCTCATATTTTTAGTTGCAAACTAAAATTATAAATTTCAATAAGATTTCTTTCACAAATTGATTTTCAAATTTTGCAAGAATCTAAATCATCTAGTGATGCAAAAAGCTTTAAATAGTATTTTTATGTGTTAAAATAAAATTAAATTGTAGTTAGATATTATTGAAATAATTAGTAATACGTTAAGACTCTTATTGATATAAAATAAAAATACGCTAACTTTTTCATCAACTAATATAAATTCATTTCTATAAGCACATTATTTTCTTAATATTATTCTTCTCTTACTTTCTAATAAGACTTAATACACTACGATGGTAAGCACTTTTTGTATTTAAGTATAATTAGTAATACATTAAGACTGTTATTGATATAAAATAAAAATATGTTAACTTTTTCATCAACTAATATAAAATTCATTCCTATAAGTTCATTATTTCTTTTAAAATTTTTGTCTCTCACTTTCTATAAGACATACTACAAATGATAAACACATTTTTATTTAACTTGTCTAATGTTAAATAAATGATAATAATTTATATATTGTATTTATCAAGAGAAATTTCAAAAAATGCCACTTTTCAAGTGCCACTTTACAAAACTGCCACACTTTTGAAATCTTTACAAAAATGCCATTTTTCAAAATTATTATTTTTTTATATCATTTATGTTTGGGTTAATTATGTTCTATTAGGGTTTAGTTATGAGGGTTTAGGGGGTTTTAGGGGTCAAAACATTTTTTAGGG